CTGAATTTTGAGTTATTGAGATAATTAAAATTTACATAAATAAAAGAAGAAAATAATTATTGAAATTTATTGAAAATATTGCAAAAAAATATGTTTCAAGACAAAGTCATAACAAATTTCCCTCTTCTTGAATGTTCAAGCACAGCTTGAAAATATTACAAACCTTGTTAAATAAATTTATCAGATGATCATGTCTCTTAAGTCATTGTTACACAATCATTAGCTTATTTTCCTATCTTTAATCTCTCGTATCTCTTCACTAGGCGAGCTGATCTACAATCTAAACATTTGCAAGATCATTAATCGATCGATCGTGATTTGACCAAAATTGATGTAGATCAATCGCACCGTTCCGTTTAACAAGGTCGTAAAGAGAAGAAAAATAATTAAGCGTATAACAAGCGAAAGACAGAATCATCTACAAAGGAGAGAAAATTAGCGGGTTGTGTTGCTTTAAGTGAATTAAAAGTCAATTAATCACTATCGAAAGAAAATAGTTCAATGAAGTAAAGAATTAATTGATTTGAATGAGTTGAAAGTACCTAAGTAGTTGACTACATGAGAAGACCTCACATAGCGATAAAGATTTTTATCGATTTACATTGAGTGAAAAGGCTTAGAAATATTTTGCAAACACTGCTCGAGTAAAGCGGATAAAGCGTCTGATGATTGATTAATTACCTTGGAAGGATATCAATCTTAACAGATTGTGAAATAGTCAAAGCCGAAATGAAATGATTCAATTGCGATTTTCATACTTGAACACTAGTTATAAGTTTCGCAAATTAATCAATTCTCACAAATGCTTAAATATATCTGCTATCTTAAATAAACGAAAAGATCTTTCAAGTAAACTTGAACTTTCTAATCCTCGTACAGCTCTAAAACACGATAAGCATAAACAACTTCCCATGAAATTTGATTTTGCATAATTTGAGTTTCTCTCTCAACATTTTTTTTTTGCACAAATGAGATTCAAATTCAATTGAAAATATTTTCAATCAGAGAATCTGTAAAGACTGGGAGTTGCTTAGACCATTGATTGTGACTGTCAGAAGCTATTATGCTAATTCGGATTCGAATGGATTGACATTAACAAAACTCCATATGTGCTTTATGCGAATTTGATTAGAGTGGATTTCTCGAATGCTGATGACGATACGGCAGTAACGTGATCGTTTGGGAATATTCGTAACGCTATAACCCACATTTTAAGTCTTCACTTAATTGGTTCTCATGGAATCGATAATGTTCAGGTTGAAATTAATTCAATTGAAATCCATTCAATCGATGCATAAAATACTCTTCAATTTCACTTCTAATAATAATTCGCCATTATTTAGAATTGTCTCTTTTGTTTTCATTTCAATAACATAACAATAAACGAATGTTTTGACTCTTTATACGATATGAATGCACTGAATTTAAATATCTGATGTTACGTTACGCTTTTAACAATTCAAAGTACAACACAAAACCTGAGGGGATCGAAGGCATGAAGAAGCTTCCTAAGGGTTTTAAAAAAGATGGCAAATAAATAATTGGTTGTGTATTGTCATGGGTTTGTTTGCAGCCAACAAGGAGAGCTTATATGCTAATTAGTTTAAGCTCGAAGCATACAGAACATTGACTCTTCATGAATCGATCACAAGATCATTAAATAAGAGATAAAATAACTGAAAACATTATCATGTTCCCTTTCATTTTAATGCTATTTTATTCCTTGGTACATTCTTTCATTCTATTGTCATCTTCTCTTTGAGTTTGCTACAACTGCATTCTTTTCAATTGTAAAATTCAATTGCAAGCTCACGAAAATTTATGAGAAGGAAATAGAGTGAGTGGCATTACATCTTACTTAGGTAAATTGAATAGAGAAATTTTTCTTTACTTCATTATCTTATCAATGGGGAAATGCTGAAGTATGGTGCAATATATCTTGACGATTTGTATCTTTGAAGCTGCTAATTTCTTTGAATTTCTAGACAAAGCTCAACTTGAGCGATTCATGTGATTATTCCACGTTCGCTCTACTGAAATCTTTTATGCGCGTCGTTACACGATGTTAATTTTCAATTAGGTTTTTTATTGCTCAAAACTCATGAACAGCGAACATTTTTCTCCAACAATCTTAATCTCTTTCACGTGATCTTTGAAAACAAGCAAATTTCTTCGCGATGTCAATGAAGGTAAACTCCATACATTTATTTAATGATCTTGTACTGATAACTCATTACGGTTTTGTTACTTGGACGAAAAAAATAATTTTTTTATTCATTATTATTTATTTCTTGGCATTCACAATCGATTAATAAGTTCTGATAGTTTATTTCGACAGAGAAATGGAAAGGAAAGGAGAAAGGCAAAACATTACTGATACTCGCGTTCATGTATGAGATTTCAACGATGATGAAAGACGAAACAGAAAATATAATTGACATGTGAAATGATCGTTATCGAGAGAAGAAGACGCGCGATTTAATGTTGTTCTTGGATATTATTTGTAATGTAAGAAGTTTGAATATAAATTTTCACTCTTGTATCGATTTGTAATTATAAAAATATTCATTCAATGGTTCATCATCATTGTTGAATCTCACGAACAAATTCACTGTTCTTAAAGTCATGATTGAACTTACTTGTGATTTAAGCAAACGATATAAACCTTTATGGTTTTCACAAAAGAAAATCATGCTTAGTTGCTTTACAAAATCATGGGAAATTTTAAGTCGTTTTGTGTTGATGAAAATCCTTGCGAAAGCAACAAATAAATGGTAATTTCTTTATATTATGCATGCGTCGGATCGTGCATCTGAAAGGTGCATTGAGACAAAATAACAAAAAAGTGAACGAAGAAAGGAAATTCCGTAATTTTCAAGTGTCAATCAAAATCGCGAATCGAAAACTTTAAAGCACTCAAACAAAGAACGGCAAGGCAAATCTCTACCATGGTCTCTTTTTATTCATCGGGTGACTGTTCTGAATGAATTTTAATGCCCTCACTCAATTCAATCAATTATATCAGCTTGCAGAAATTCCACAAAATGCACTCTTACTTGGAAAAGGCTGGCAAATGCAACAGATATCAACAAACGAGCAAATTGCTTTATGGCATAAAAATGTGTAAAAATATGCTAAAAATAAAATTTATGGTGTTAAAATTCGCACGAAAGATACGCGAATGAAAATATTGGTTGAGATATCGCCCAGTTAGTGATAAAGTTGATAAGTTAATTCAAAAGAAATTTTTTTAGTTAAGAAAATTTTTCTTACTGGGTCGTTTCAGTTTGCTTCCAGCCATTCAATTGAACAACAAATGCTGTAAGATGATCATTTGAGCATAGATAAGAATCTTGCCGATAAATACGACATATAAATCCTTTTCTTTTCTGCTTCGGCTTATCACAAGCTGTCTGATTACAATGTGAAATCAATGAAAAGCTCGCGAGTTTCTTTTTCACGTTCGTGTTTATCGAAATATATTACAGGTGTTTCGATTTGTAAGTTTCCGAATCGCTCTCGCTGGAAACGATTGTTTGCGGTAGAATAATTTTAGAGAAAAAATTGGAATTTATATCTTCTTTGCTATCGCGATCTTATTAGACACCTTAATGCCGACAGGAGATTTTCGCCTTAAATAAATTGTTCGATTCTTTGTTGCGATGTTGTTGAGGTTTAGCTTTACTTTTTACATCAACTCCCGAATTTCAGGTGAGAATTGAATGGGAAATTTCTTAATGTAAGCGATACATAATCACAAAGTTGAAATCCGCGCCCGTTGTATTTTACGACAAACAATTGAATTTATGTTTTTTTTTAATGTTTTACGAATTGCTAACAATGTTTTGTTGTGTCATTTTTCGTTTTTGATGAAGTGTTGCTTGATGTCTTCAGTGTTAAATATTCCACAACAAATCTTTTTTATCATCAGGCATCTCATTTAGAGTTTGAATGAATATCAGAACGTTTTCTCTCGTTAGCATCATTAAACATAACAAATGACAAAAGCAAAAATACTTTGTGAATGGTGATTCTTATGCTGCAGTGCTCCTAAAAGCATATTCTGTCTGCATCGAATATTCAAAGAATGAAAGGCTTTTGAAACAGCAAGGAGCATTATCAGCAGCCGGGGTCGAAAGATTTATGTTAAGGTGGCACATTTTGTGCATTGCATACACTCGAAACAATCGTTGCAATGTGCGAAAATAAAAAAAAGTAAAATTGAATGAATATGCAAAGTAAAAAATGTTCCTCGGCTCTTCCAAGCTTATTTATTGGAAGTTTGAATAGATAAGAAGCAACATTCATTTGTGAGCATAAATTATGAATTTCCTTGTACATCTTCGTTCTGAAAATGCTTGTAACATGAGAAATTTGCAGACAATTCTTCTGAGACTAACAGACTCGTCGGTATTTCATATGATCGCGGAAAATACATGAAGAAGAATCATAAAAGCATAATCATTAGTGTCGAATAAGTTTCATTGTGATTTGAAAGATTTTTACGCGATGAATGTACATATGTATAAGAGAAAAAAACTCAGATTTGTATCGCGGCGTGAATTTATTGTGATGGTTAATGATTCATAGAATTGTACTTATAATAAACATACGAAATGATTTATGCACGCTTCTTTCGCAGCCATTTTTGGTTGAAATGAAGAAAGATCTTTGACTTGCCTTTGACACACAATTTCTGATGTTTGAATACATAAAAAATATATTTAAAACATTCAGATTTATATCGCATTACAATCATGATGCAAAAATTCATTTCCAACAAAATTCGATCATTGAGCTGTCAATTGAAAATTTGTATTTTCTCACAAATGTTACGAAGTTAAAAGATGAAGTCGTAACATTGAAATTTCTTTCAACTATTCCTCATTTAACTTTATTGTCTCTATTACGTCGTTCATTAAAATTCTTTCAAAAGATTCTTTGCAAGTATTAATGACGTAGAATATATTATCAAAGCTTTCATAATGACCACTTAGTCAATGGAAGAAAAGTTAAACATGTAAACAAACGAGAAGAATAAACATATTTAATATATTTTAAAAAAGAAATATCAAACGAGAACCGGTGCTTTATGTGAACATCATTTGTATTGAACTCGGTTCTGAAGTTATGAATCTGTCAATTAAAATGAAAAATCATCAGTACAGTTTACACCCTCAAGCATCATATGCAATTTGTGGTGGAGATTTGAGACGAAAGAAATATTTAAAATGTTAATCATTTGTTGGTTTAATAAGCATTCAAGAAATGTTGTGCAATAAACGAGAGAGAAACAATTTTCAACTCTTTCTTCAACTCATTTATGCAGTTTGATCATGAAATATCAACATCGATCAAAAATTATTTCTTTCCATCATAATGACATCAGTGAGATTGTGCAAGTTAAAACCATCAAATTCCCTGTCAATTAGCAAAACGGAGCCATATAAAAATTGTGCATAGATGCGCAGTACGACAAAATTTAATGCAAATTAAGGTAGAATTGATTCGATCAAAAAGACAGCTTGCAAACTGAGATGTAAATAGTGTTGTGATGGCACACATTTGATAAACCATGTTCGTTCAGAAGCCAGAGCAGATTCGACTGATTTGCAATATGATGAATCGTGTGAACAACTGACCAGATATTGTGCAATCTCCTGATCGCCGATGCATAAAAATGTCCATAAATATTCAGTGTTATCATCAATCAGCTGACAATATCTCTCATGCCATAAACGGAGTCACAAATGTTGAAAAAATAAGAATCAATAAAAATAATTTCTTTTATGTCTTTAATAAAAATTGCGAAAAGTTTTTTTTTAAATGTCCAAGATTTGCAACTATGGATGGAATAAAGAAAAATTTCTACAAAAATAAATTAATATCATCAGGTTTTTTAATTAATCTTGTTGTTTATTTCAATTAAATGAAATTTATTTTCAGATAATGTAGCAAAATTTTAATCGATGTTCGTAAATTATTTGAGCATGTTCTGGGTGCAATGTCACAGCTAATTACAAATTGCCGCAATGCATTGAGAAGAGAGAAACGTTATTCAAGTCAACGTTGGGCGACATTAAAGTATGAATAAACAAGACTCTTAAATTTGCTTCCTAACGGGTGGCTGATGCCAACTGATTAATTTTAAATCATTAAATAACCAATGGAATGTTCAATAAATTTCTTTCAACGCTATCATTTAAATCATCCAAAAATACCAAATAAAAATAAAACAAGCAACCAGATTAGTTTACAAGATCCCTTCAATTCGATAACATGAAACTTAAAAGACTTTTTTTAATGATTTTAATGCTTGGATAATTCAGGTGGCTCCCGACGAAGACATATTAAACTTCTTTATGGAACATTTTATTAAAATCCTTCATTGCAGACCTAAATAAATTAAGTTTTGAAATTATCATAAAAGTTAATATCAACTTTACAAATTAATTCAATTTAATTAAATTTCTTTATATATCTAGTAAAATACTGAAAACTTCAATCGATTACGAAAGAAACAAATAAACTGTTCTACTTACTTCCCTTGTTCTTAAAACCAATTCATCAAAAAACTGAAACCTTTGATAAGCGACAAAGTATAAAATATTAAAGCTTTTTATTATTATTGTCAGTTATATTGGCAAACTTAAACGTGAACAGTTCTTAAAGTAATGAAACCAGTAATTAAGTTTATATGCCTTTGGATACTGACGTGGCTTGAAGTTGCAAATGGACAAAGCGTAGACATAGTTTGCAGTTACATTTTCATTGGATCGCAGTATATGTGCAGTTTTTATGGATTGGAAGTTCCAAACAACGAGCAATACCATGTTACGATAAGTGGAGATCATATGCATGGATTTAGCGATTATAATGTTCAAAGACTTCAAGTGTGGAGCTCAAACGTGTCATTTGTTTTGCCTCAATTTTTCACAAAATTCCCAAATGTTGAAGTTTTTGATATCAGAAGCAGTGGACTGGAAAGAATTCAATCAAATGCGTTTATGAACGCTGGAAATCTTAGGATTGTGTCAATGATTGACGATTTAGAATTCATTGCGATTTACCCAAACGCTTTTTTGGGAGCAACGAAACTTGAGACAATATCTTTGAATGACAATAACATTCAGTTTATACATGAGTCAGCCTTCAACGGTCTGACATCATTGAAGTTCCTGTATTTGCAGAATAACAAGATAAGTTATCTTCCAACAAATGTTTTCAGTAGTTTGATATCTCTCGATACACTTGATCTAAGCAGAAACTTTTTAACAACACTTGATGAGAGATTATTATCGAACAATTTTAGATTGTTCACTTTGAGTATCGAATCAAATCAAATTAGCTCGATTGGAAGAAACTTTTTCAGTAATTTGTTTGAATTACTTTTCTTGAATCTTTCTGGAAATGAATGTGTTAACGATAGTTGGGTTGTTGATGTTGCTTCTTCAAATGAAATTCGTCAAAGTTTATTTCCATGTTACAATTATCCAAAGACAAGCTTCCATGGCTATAATCACGAGATTTATTCTTAAGAAGGTCTTGCAAAATGTAATTTTGGTTTCATGAAAGTAATAAATAAAAGATTTAAAAATTATTTTCATTTCTTATCATTCAAAATGTTTTATCAGTTTGTTAAGTGTCATCGCAATAATTGATCAGATGTGTACGAACAGGAAATTATGAAATATTCGTCAGGGATTGGAATTGAAATTTAATTTCTGAATATGCAAATTCATTTATTTTTAATCTTTTTAATGCTCAACTCTTGCATTAGCTCAACATTAATTTGAACATAATGCAATAATTTCATAATTTAGTTTCTCTCAAGTCTGACGCCAATAATTAAATTTCCTGTCATACATTAACTTCACTTCAATCATTAAATATCATTATAACAAGTCTAAACAAATGCTGCAAACATGTCGTGATAAGCAAACAAGTAGCAAAATAGAAGGGTATAAATATGCGAATTGTCATTAAAAATGCTTCAGTCATTATTTAATTATTTTAAAGGTCGCTCAAAATGAAGATTTCAATTGTTTTATTCATCGTGTTGATTTCAATTTCTTTTTCTATCATTTCTGGACAGAATTTTGATTTTAATTGCGTGTTTTTTGGATCACCAGCCATCTATACCTGCATAATTGCTGGAATTACCATTCCCGATGATGCGAACTTGGACTTTAACATTGGTGGAAATCATATTTTAGGACTTGGAAACGAGAATGTGACAGAAATTCGAATTTTAGACTCGAACATTCCGTTCATCATCTCAGAAATGTTCACAAGTTTCCCCAACGTCAATTTCTTTGGAATAACTGAAGGTGGTCTTCGCAGAATTCAATCAAATGCATTCAATAATGCTAAAAATCTCCAATCAATTCGAATAAATGCGAATAAAGAATTCAAAATCATTCAAGAAAACGCTTTCAATGGAGCTGATAAAGTTGTGACTTTGGAGTTATTTGAGAATAAAATTGAATCAATTGCTGAATCTGCTTTCAATGGGCTTCATTCCTTAAATGTGTTGAATCTAAGAGTTAATGAAATTCGCACGCTTCCAGTTAATGTCTTTAAAGATCTGCAATCAATGAATCTCCTTCAATTGACAGACAATCGCTTGGATAGAATTGAAGGAGGATTATTCGCACAAAATAGCAATTTGAGTACTTTAAATATAATAAGAAATGAAATCAATGCAATTGAAAGAAATTTCTTGGATGGATTCGAACAGCTCAACATACTTTCATTAAACGAAAATCAATGCATAGACAGAGCTTGGATAATTGGTGGATCTACCTCCACTCTCGATACTATACGAGAAAACCTCTCGATTTGTTTCGATAATTTCGACACACCTGAAGAAGAAACCAGAAGAATCATCATGGAAATTCGCGGTTCTTTGACTTTGTTCAATGAAAATGGAACTGAAATTATAAGAATTTAAAATTAATTAATGTAATTAGAATTAGTTCAAATGAGCTTCGCCGTTTTACGAGGACAAATTGCAATAAATGATTCTTTCAATGAAATGACTTCAACGTGCACGTACATGCATGTACATAAATAGTTGCTTTAATTAATTTTCCTAAGAAATGTCGCAACGATTGTAAACAACACCGGATGAGAAAATGTTGAAGCAAAAACTTCAATCGGAAAGAAAGTATTTTGTCCAACATGGAACCTTACAGATTTCCAGTTTCATTTCTGTTTTCTTAGTCAATCCCAAATATGGCTGAAACTTTTCGTCGTCAACAAGATAGCAGCGAAGAGTGGTCAACGTCTCTTACAAATTCACCTCATGATAAACACAAGCCATTTAAAAATGTGTAGCGTTAAAAGGGAATTATCTTCGGAACTGTTTAGCATACAAAATCGATCAAGCGACTCAATTGCGTATAGGCTCACGACAAATAAGCAATGGATCGCACACAAATGACCATTTGTTCATGTAAATTGCGGTGCCTGGAAAGCCATAAAAATCACTTTTCACTGAACAATAAAAAAAGAGTTCGCGAAACTGTTTTTATATGCTGTTTGCTTGTCACATGACAAATTGGTAATAAATGTGAGAAATTACCGATGATTTTCGTGAATCGCTTTCGATTCTCTATGCCCGCTGGTTCCAATTAAATCGAGGATGCATCTGAACAATGAATAACATTGCGTGGATTGCTGTGTTAAATTATTATATAAAACTGAGTTTCACTGCTCGAGGTTTTGTGGAATTTCATAAAATTTACTTCTCAACTCTCTCGAATTCTCAAGTCTCAATAAATTTCTTTTGAATTCGTTGTTAGCTTGCATAGAATGAGAAAATCTTTAATTGAATAAAATGAATGTTTGTAAGTATGTAGTCATAATTCATATTTTCTCTCTTTTATCCATTTCGTTTCTGCAGCTTATGTTGTGCATTAGTTAGTTAACATTTATCGATTGCACCATTTAATCCCGCCGCTACTCGACTTTAAACTTTACTTTAGCACTGCTGGATTTCCAGATAAGTATTCATACAAATCTTGACCATTGGCGTTTGAAAATGTTTTCATACATAATAATATGAATTTTTGCTCTTGTCAAATTTTAAATTGTGTTGATTCTCAACATGTTTTATGATACAACAATTTAAATATGCTGAATGGAATTCTAAATATTTTCTTGTTATTTAATGCCTTACGTTTGTTTACAGCTATCAAACTTTTCCAGAGAACTGTGAGGTTGATGTTATTAAAAAAAAACCATGAAAAAGAAAGGAAAATCCCAACCGAACCTCCCGTGGAAAGCCTAAGTCCCACCTCAATCAATTAGAACAAAACTTCACCCATAACCATGTAGACGGCAATGACCTTTAAAATAAAAACGTTCAAATCAATTTCATGTTTCTCACAATTCTCCCAAATAAATAATTAAAGGATTCAAAATTCATCCCTCGATGACATTCTCATTTAAATATAAAATAACAAATCATTATGAATAAACCTTTGTAGATTTTATCTTGTATCTGTGACTTACACGTGCTAAAAAAGGAAAATAAAAAACTATTCACAATAGAATTTTCCCCATGAAAGGGCGCAATATAATGGAAAATTAATTCAAAAAGTTCCGCACCCAAAAATACTAGAATTTCTGAAATGGACAGAACTTTCGCTGTTTGACATGATGTCAGTTTCGTTGTGGACTTTGAGGTGATAACATTGGAAAAAGAAAAGTTTGGTAAATGTTAAGCAAGAAAAAGCAACCTGCAGCGATATCTGGAACGTTGCCAACGACTGAACCACCAATTACAACTCAACCGAAATCTGACAGCGATGAAAAGCCATTGAAACAAAAAAAAGTTAAGAAACAAAAGCCACGACAGCGAGAAAAATGTGAAAATTGTAAACGTTGTTGGGGGTTCTGTGATTTTTTGAAAACATCTTGGAAGCTTTTCAAAGAATTTTCTGCTGACACTTCAATTCATGGTGAGTAAAAATTAGGCTAAATAATCATAGGAAATGCGAAATATCCCAATTTATCTTAGGCATTAAATATTTAACTGATAAAAAGCGTCATTGGAGTGAAAAGTTATTTTGGTTCGTCGCTTTAACGCTTTCGATTTTAGCGTGCTCGTATCTCATTTACGACACGTTTAGGAAATGGAAAATGGCGCCGGTGATTGTAAGCTTTTCAGAGAAATTCATGAACATTTGGGAAATTCCCTTTCCTGCTGTAACAATTTGTCCAATTGCTGGTTTATACCCGCTCGATGAAGATTACAACCCAAGTGACGGATTAGGATCGAATCCTTTGAAAAACTTTACGGAATCGATCGAACACAGAATAACAAATGCGAAATGGAGAAATAATTTGACAAACGCAACTGATCTTTTCACTGAAATAGCAACAGAAGAAGGATTTTGTTACACATTTAACATGATGAATTTTCATGATTTGCTGGAAGATGACGTGTAGGTTTGCATTTATGTAAAGTTTAATCATAATTAGAAAATATTTTTTCAGTAAGTTTGAAGGATTTAAAAATCTAAAAAATTATTCGAAAGTCCCGAAAACAAGTTGGTCATTACAAGATGGCTACTACAACAAGAAACCTAAAGTTTATCCATATCGGGCATCTGGTTCTGGCGAAAACGGCGGATTGAAGTTCGAGATTTGGCGACGAATTTCAGAAGTCAAAAAGAGTACAAGTTTTAATAAAGGATTTAAGCTTGTCGTTCATCTTCCCAGCGAAGTTCCGCAATTTGACAAGCATTATTACAGATTTCCTCTAGAAAAATCAGCAACATTAGTTGTTCGTCCATCATTAATTGTCACAGAGAATTTGGAGAGCTACGAGTCAGATTTAAGGCAATGTTATTACGAAGGAGAAAAGAAATTGAAATTTTTCAAATACTACACGAGATCAAATTGTCAACTTGAATGCTTAGCTAATTTTACACGAGATAAATGCAGTTGTATTCACTTTTCAATGCCAAGACTAAAAGGTGATGCTGTTTGTGACAGTAATCGGTCTTTGACTTGTTTCGATGAAGCTAAAAAGAATCTCATGCAAAAGACCATGGAAGAAAGTTTACAAACAAGTACAAGCTATGATGATCGTGGTAGAATGACTTGCGATTGTCTTCCCGCATGCACAAGTTTACAATATGAAGGTGAGATTAGTCATGACGATATCAGATACTTCGGAAGATACAAGACAACTGAGTAAGTATACGCTGAACGATTGGCTAACAGTTCTAAAGTGTTTTTCTTCCCAGCGCATTTCGTTCTTCGGTCACAATTTTCTTCAAAGACGATGACTTCATCTTTTCGAAACGTTCTGAACTTTACAGCTTCACTGACTTCATTGCAAACTTTGGTGGCATCTTAGGATTGTTTTTAGGTGTTTCAATTCTTTCAATAGTTGAAATCATTTATTTTGTTGCTTTTCGTAAACTTGATGACGATTCAGAAGAATCAGAACACGAATCACAACCACAAAGTATTGGTGGAGACACAACGATTGCTTCAGTTGAGATTAAAGCAGATGAAACAATAGTTCGAAATGGATATTAAAGGATTCTCCCCTGCAGACTTGTTTCGACCTTGTCTTGATAGCACGCACGTTTCTGCTCTACATTTTATCACTTAATTATATACACAATAAGCAAGTCGATTCATTAGAAAAGGCAGTTAAGGTGTGGCGACTCGGAACTAACCTATCTCAAATCCATTTATCGTTGTTCGCAGTTTTAAGCCAATTTTAGCACAAACACGGAAACTAGAATGTTAAAATGTAGTCTCGATGTTCATGAAATAAATTCTTATGGGATTAAATCACTTAGTCAATGTGTCAGTTGCTCGTCCTCAGCTTAGGAATTTATATTCAAAATATTTGAGACTAATAGGGTGTTTATAGTGACGTTTATTATAAGTGTAATGAAGTTATTCCATGCAACATTTTCGTGGTTTACATCACGGACATTGGGGACTGTTTAAATATATGCTTCGGTCAACCTTCAAAGTTGTTAAACATGAAAAGCATAAATCATTGAATACAATTTGAAATCTTTATCATTAAAAAGCTTTCAACTTATTCAATGACAGATAAGAAAAGCTCGTGAAAATATTTGTGAGTTTACAGTTCTCAACTGTCAAAATTTATTAAAAAAATTGAAGTGGAAAAGCTAATAATGAAAGTTGGGAATTGAAAATTTAACTACTGGCAATTTTAGAAGTGATAAGCTCGTGAAAGCTTTGATAAGACTCGTTTGCCTTTATCTGTTACGATTGCCTTCTTTTTCTGCAAGGTATGTGCTGAAATATTTGAATTATGATTATGACAGACCACACGTTAATCAGAAGATAGTAGACTTAGCTTGAGTACCTTTATTTCCAACACCCTCTCTTTAATTAAACCTTATCAGTAAACATGTGAACACTTGACTCTTGAATTTTATGTTCACGTGAACAGATGAAACGTGTATACTTACAAGCTATTTCATTCTTTCACAGTGTTATAATCTTACTTCGATACAAACTTTTATAATGAAGCCATTGACATCATTAATTTTTTCCTTAAATATATCTTATCTGTTCTCAATATGCGTGGGTGTATCATGTGAGTTATTCTACTAAAATAAACCTTCAAGATCTAGATTTCTTTTCACGTCAATTATAACGAAACCAAAAAGCATTTAAAAGTTATAAGAGAAGAATGGCAACTGCCATTCACTTATTGATGGAGTCACAGAGGCTCGCATGCTAATAGGGAGACGAAATCATGAAGAATGAAGTTTGGAAAAATACAATAGCAGAAACTATTTGAAGTTAAAATTCTGAAGTGAACATAATTATGCGAAGAAAAGAAGAAAATTCTGACTCGTTAAAACGAAACAAGAATCCACATGATATAGAACGCAATGACAGAAGAACGAGAGAAACGAGACGTCATTTAATGCTATATTATGAAATCAACTCATAAATTGATCTCTGAATACAATGGACATTTAAAATGTTTTTTTGAACGTTAATAAAGCTCATCAGCCAACTAAATACTGGACATCATCAGCAAGACAAAAAGTTGGCATTTAAGCACATGACCGGCGTATTCATTGTTCTTCAACTCGTGCAAGATCACTCAGATCGGAATCGATAAGTGAACGAACGTAGCGATAAATCATTTCTCGATCGATTATTTCTCGCTGATAACAAATAAAAAATGCGAAAGTATTTTTATTTTTATTTTTCGTCTGACTCTCGCGCCATCATCTGATGTTTACGTCTACATTGTCTGCAAGACTTTAAATCATCGACATTACAATCTTGGTGATGTTTTAAATAGTTGAGGAGGCGAAAGAATGTTGACCTTGTTGTCGAAATAAAAACCTCATTAAAGATTCATCACGTCAAAAATATTAAAATAAAAATTTTTTTGCAAACAAATATTTTCAATAATTTCTTGAAATTATCGTTCAATAGACTATCGACAAAGTGTGTTAAATTTCAGTTTCATTGTCATTCAACTACAATTCATAGAAATTTTATTTTCTATTTTGTTGAATTCGCAATACTCGCAAAGCAATTTGCTCGAACACGAACGAACTAAAATCGTACAATTCATCAATGAATGGAACAATTGAACAGTTAATTTCCATAAAGTAGACAAAACAAATCATAAATTTGCGACTTGATACTAGTCGGAGTGTTTGTGATGTTACGTTAGCTGAATGAAATTACCTTAGCTCAACATTTTCTTCACTGCTCACGGGCGGCAAAATATTTTGTTGCAAACTTTTATCTTTACGATTCTTAACGCTTGTCAAAAACTGACTAAACACTATAATTTGCTTATAGTTTCTCGTAACAACTCCAACAATAATGTTAGATATTGGTTTGAATCATCACATCATTTTATGATTGAGTCTTATTTCGAACTTACATTCAAGAATAAATGTTTGATGAAAATTTTATACACGACAATGACAATTCTCGATGACGAGGTGGAGAAGATTAAAAAGAAGCAAGCAAAGGAGAAACCACACCTTGCAAATTTATGGTTCTTCTTTTTATTTTTTGATTTTTGATTACTAAATAATGTTGGCAAGAAAAAGTTTTAATAACAATTGAGTCTAGAATTTGAGGCCACTGATACTTATGTACATACCTACCTAGTTATGTATAACTATGTGAGGCAGGGGCTTGACTTCAATTGGCTAATTTCCTCGAATTGAACTTTTTTTCATTACTTGACTTACTTTTTTGACTCTACTTGAAAAATTCTTTTGACTTGACTTGCTCGGGTGACTTGATTTGAAGCGAAACCTAAACGAGTCAAGGCCCTGATGTGAGGTAAGGTAGGTAAGTTTAATGATGCGCAAAAAAATACGCAATATAATCGAGACTGGCATGAGAGTCATGACTTCTCTTCAAACAACATCAGTAGACAATTGAAGCTCACATTTCATGCGTGAATAATTTACTTAACTTGCACGAAATTTTGCTAATTTTCGCATTGAAGAAATGCTGACTCATGATGGTAATTGTTGTGTAAAGAAGGATTTGTCATCAGACGTTATTTTATTCAACAGCATATTTGCACTCGTGACCTGTGGTGCTTCCTTCACTTTCCCTCATTCATATGCGAGTACGATGCGTGGTGGTGTTGTTGATGTTGAAGAATGAAAGAAGAAGCAACGATAACTGTTTTATTGAGGAGCTGAGTAAAGCAACATTGCTAATTGTTACTTGACTCTTATGTGAGACGAGTCATTCAATTATTTGGGAACATTTGCGAAACTTTCAATCGCGAACACGGATTTTGCAAGACCTAAAGAAATAACCATAAAAGAAATTCCGTATGTCTGTTTAACATTTCTTAAGAGCGACAAAAGAAGAATTGATCAAAGATAAAGTTAACATAGAATGACTTTAATCTTCTCTGATTTCATACAATAACGAAAGTTATCATTGAAATCACATCTCGGAAAGTTAATTGCTTAAGAAAAGAAGCTAATTAATCCTTCGAAACCTTACTGCGATCTTTAATGAATCTACTTGTAGTTCATTTATTATGCACTTGCTGAATCACTCCTGGCGTCAGCCAACAGCATCATTGATTATCCGACACACAAAAATTCAAGAAACCGAACACTGAATGCGAGAAGAAATAAAATTTATGGGTTTAATTGATTTTATGTCGATATTTCCTCTTCCATTATGTATTTTGTTTTCATTTTACGCAAGCTTCAATAGTCTGAGCGTTGGATGAGCGAGAAAAATGTTAAATTATATGTAATTTTAGGATCGCAATTTAATTACCGCGTGAATTTTATGTTTTCTTGTTTTTGCAATGTTTTCATATTTGTTTGTGATCAAAACTTTTAAGTGCTGTGAAACGATGTTGATAGTATCAAGCATTGTGACTGAATTGACATATAAAGTTATGGAATCTTAAATAAATACTGCAATTATGTATTAAACGCATTGACGGGATCGATAGATAAGCAATTGATTTATTTTTTATCAATGATTTACAAATTATAAGAGTTAACATTTAAAATAGATAAGGATTCTTATCTAAAGTCTGAGTCGAAGTGCTTTTCTTCGAAAACCCTCACTAATCAATTAAGTTGAAGTAATTGATCGAGTATTAAACTCGTTGATTGATAGAAATACAATCGCCAACTGCTACTCACGTTTCAACATCGAGGATTTCACGTGTTACTAGACTTCGCTTTATTAAAACCACACTTTAATTTTTTTGTAAATGTTTGAGTGATGTTTATCAAAGTCTTTGCCGAAGAATTTTTGTTACAAAAATACATCTTAAACATTTCAATTGAAGCTAAACCACGCCTCGAAATTCTTATTTACAAAATTATTACCCAAATTATCAATAAAATCATTCACGTGTTCAACAGGCATTTTGTCTCGTGATTTAAAAAGCTGTTAACATAATTATAAAAATTCTTTTCATTTACAGTGCATGTAGATTGGCAAAAGGAAACTATTTAAACTCGTTGGAACATTCTTCACTTTTCAGTTAATTAGCAGTGCTCTGAAAACTATTTAGAAATAGGTATATTCGGAATATTCAGAGGCAACTTTCTAAAATCGCTATTTAAATAAAAGGAATAAAATAGAAAACGATCATCATACAAGATCTCAATTTAAAACAAAATAGCTTCATATAGAAAGGAAGATATTAGTTAGAAAATAATTGTCAGAGGTGTGTTAATATGCAAATAACATCGTGAAGCAAGAATTTTATTATCTGAAAATTATCTCCAGACATCTTAATAAGTGTCTAATTAAATTTTAAAGCTCAAATGTTTTAAATGATAAAAAAATGATTTCAAGAATTGCTACTTCTAGTCTCTTAGATTTGCAATAAAGAATGGTGCAGAATCAACATTTGTTAATGCTTCAACTATTTAATGTCGATGAACTTTTAATACAATAATCCACTTTAACATTATTTGTTCATAAAAACGAGGAAGAGCTTCCCTTAGTGCTTGCTTCCGAAATAATTTGAAATTGTTTACGTGAAAATATTTTGTGCAGGGCTCAGCGTTGTTATGAACGAAAACGTCGAATAATCATTGAAAGTTCTTTATGAAGGAAAAGCTCGATTCTTAGAGCTTTAAGTCGAAAAGTGTTTAAACATTAATTATTAAAATAATTAATGATTTTAAAGTAAAAAAAATATAATTGGAAATCAAAGTTAGCATTAAAATATCTTGCAATAAATTTTTTAACTTGTAAGCTCTCATCTTTTATCTGTCGCCACTTCTCTCCTTTTGACCGACACAACTCGTCTGAAGCCGAGGAAAGAATTCATTACTAGATGTGAAACTTTTATTCTAAAGCTTTTTACTTCTAAACGAACTTTACGTATATCGAAGTCTACGACGTTGATTTAATCAACGTTCTTCGCATAAAAGGTGTGACTGTCTACTTAGTGACGTTCGGGTTTTTACAATTAAATTTTCTCATAAAATTAATTTTCAGATTTATCTACAATATTTATGGAATTCTTAAATTATTATTCCTTTTCTTAGAACGAATAGAACACACCAAACAATGGACGAGTTGATGAATGATTATTTATGGATTGTGATTCTTGCATTTATCGTGGCTTTCATATTAGCCTTTGCAGTTGGAGCTAATGATGTTGCAAACTCTTTTGCGACTAGTGTTGGGGCAAAAGTGTTAACACTTAAGCAAGCGTGCATCTTAGCATCAATTTTCGAAGTTTCTGGCGCTGTTCTTCTAGGTCACAAAGTGTCAGATACAATAAGGAAAGGAATACTTGATGTAGACATATATGAAGGAAATGAAGTACAGTTGATGTATGGAATGATAGCAGCATTAATCGGCTGTGCTGCATGGCTGTTAATTGCCACTTGGTTTAAAATTCCTGTATCAACAACACATTCTATTGTTGGAGCAACAATTGGTTTTGGATTAGTAGCTCATGGAACGAAGGGTTTGAATGTTGGACAAATAATCATAATTGCTGCTTCATGGCTCGTGTCTCCCGTCTTAAGTGGCTTGATAAGTGTTGCGTTCTTCATGCTCGTATATAAATTTATCCTGAAAGCTAGCCGACCTGTAAGGGCTGGGTTCATAGCATTACCTTTCATCTACGCATTCACAGTCTTTGTAAATATTCTCAGCATCACCTGGGACGGTCCTGATCGTATGTACAAATATTTAACATAATCAAAGGGCGGGAAAATTCAAATATTTTTATTTTAGTTCTCAAAATGGATGATTTACCTTTATGGTTGGTCTTTGTAATATCAATTGTAGCTGGAATAATTACAGGGATTATTGCACAGGCCTTTGTTCCATATCTCCGTCGGAAGGTTATCAATAGCCAAGATGTTATTAACAATCCTTCAAATTTAGAGAAAGGCATCGACAATAAAGCATATGCGAATGATAATGGAGAAAACTTAAATGTCACAACTGTTTCAACAGTATCAATAAGTGCACCTGCAATCAACGACAAAGACAAAATTCAAGAAAGTGAAGAAAATGTCAATAAACTCTTCAGCTTTCTTCAAGTACTTTCAGCTATATTTAGTAGCTTTACTCATGGCGGCAATGATGTTAGTAATGCCATCGGTCCATTGATTACTATTTGGTTGATTTACAGAGAAGGCATTGTGACGTCAAAAACAGAATCACCGATCTGGATTCTTGCTTATGGAGGTATTGGTATTGTGGTTGGTCTTTGGTTTTTCGGAAGAAGAGTCATTGAAACGATTGGAAAAGACTTAACAAGAAAAATCACACCAGCAACGTAAGCAAAACTTAGGAGATGTAAATTGAAGTGCAAAGTAAATTAATGAATCATTTTCAGTGGATTCGTCATTGAATGTGGGGCAGCCACCACTGTGCTTATCGCAAGTAAAGTTGGATTACCCATTTCAACAACTCATTGTCAAGTCGGAAGCGTAGTATTTGTTGGATGGGCATACGGTACAACATCACAATTGACAGAATCAGCTGATAAAAAAAAGAAATCAGTTGACTGGAGTTTGTTCAGAAATATCGTGTTAGCATGGGTTGTGACGCTTCCAGCTGCCGGTAGCATTTCAGCCTTCTTCATGTGGATATTTTCATTCTTTTATTAAATAAAATTTAGTTATTTAAGATTTATATTTTGCATATATGTGATAAGAGAAATTCTAATTAATTTATCTGTGTAAATAAAACAGAAAATTTTTATAGTCTGAATTTATTCAAGAAAAAAAACTATCTGCATCGACAATAATATTTAATATGCATCAACAACTACGTTATCAGTGATAAGATATTTTATATTATAATCATTCTCACCTTACAAACACATAAAAATAAAAGTGTGTGTGAAAAGTTTAATCACCGAAGTTGTAAGTAGATGTGTTAGCAAAAAAAAAATTATAGTCTCACTCAGAGATATGTAGTTTGTATTTAAAAGGAGCTCGAAAGCAAATCTCCTCAGTATTCAAATGGAACCGCTTTAAAAACGACGAACATTTTTGAAAGGAATTTAAACTTTAAAATCATCTTAAATATTACCAATATTAATATTGAATTCGTGTTACTTTCATATTTAAGATGATTACAAAGAATTTTGAAGTGATTTTAATGTTTCTTTAACTCAGAACCTTGAATATTTAATTAACTGTTGCTACTCTGCTAAAGTGAAACTTGAATTTAATACAAAGGTAATTTGGCAAAATACAAGATAAAGTCTGATACTGAGAAAACCTGTTTATGAATATGATTCGTGTTGAGAAATTTAATTAAGAGAGTGTTTCGTGTAAATATCGGCATAACCTACGTTATCTAATGTTATTTATGGAAGGGTGACTCGTGACTGGTTAAACCATCCAAAGATGAATCTTTTGCGTCTTGACACTTAAGATGTTTAAAGGAAACTTCTTCAAATTCATTTGTGGTCACCCTTTGTCGTCATATCTGACAATTGTTCAAACAAACCTTCACATTTTTAACTAGAAACTGTGTTTTTTCATCATGAATGATTCAAGTTCGACTTTACATCACCTTGCTAAGAATGAATTGATGTCGAATTCACATCATCCCGTGTTTTATTGGAGTATTCAAAGAAATCTCCTTGCAAGTGTTGTTAGCTTATAGAAAATGTAAATATTAGTGGAACAAACAAACACAAATATCCGATTTTGCTTTGGAACCAGTTTGATGTGAGAAATTCCAAGCTAATAAAAAATTTGTTTTCTTCCGTTTAAAAAGATTGTAATTGACGTGTACATCTTTTTAATTTCGAAGTAATCATCAATTGTTGCTAATGGCATTACCAATCACAGTAATTGATTAGATATGTAATCTTATAGCGCCATCTCTTTAAACTCGTGCCTTATTTTTATTGCTCTTCATTGTCGCGTGGTCTCGAAACTGAAAATTATTTTCGAAACATTGATAAATTCTAATAAACTGAAGTAGAATTTTTCAATTCATTACAGATTTTAAAAAAGTAATTCAATAAACTAAAAATGGAGCCATATCTAGCAGAAGTATTATGGATTGTTATTGTCGGATTTATTATCGCATTTATTTTGGCATTTGGAGTTGGTGCAAATGATGTAGCAAATTCATTTGCAACAAGTGTTGGTTCAAAAGTTTTGACATTCCACCAAGCTTGCATTTTAGCGTCAATCTTTGAAATTGCTGGCGCTGTACTACTTGGATATAAAGTGTCAGATACGATAAGAAAAGGAATCTTGGAAGTCTCCATATATGAAGGAAATGAAGAACAGTTGATGTATGGAATGTTGGCTGCTTTGGTTGGATGTGCTATCTGGTTGTTGATTGCAACATACATCAAGCTGCCCGTTTCAACAACTCACTCAATTGTCGGTGCTACGGTCGGTTTTGGTTTAGTCGCTCACGGCACAAAAGGACTGAATATACAAACATTGATAACAATTGCTTCATCTTGGATCATTTCTCCAGTAATGAGTGGATGCATCAGTGTTGCCATTTACATGATTATCCACAAGTTCATTATCAAAGCTAATCGTCCGTTTAATGCCGCTTTGATTTCTCTACCATTCATTTACGCGATCACAATTTTCATCAATGTCTTAAGCATAACCTTGGATGGATCGAAAAGTAGGTTTAAAGAAGATTGCGAGTCTTTAAATGAAATCTTTATATTCGATTCAATTTTCAGTTCTCAAAATGGATAATCTTCCATTATGGCTTGTGATAACTATTTCTACATCATGTGCAGTGATTATTGGAATACTTGCACATTTACTTATTGCACCATGGCAAAAGAAGAAGATTCTCAATCGAAACATTGACGAAAAACCTTCCAAAATTGAGAGTGGACTTGGATCGAGCGTCGTTTCCGTTAACACAATTCAAATGGGGTCTTCAGCAAATTCCCTTGCACCATTACCATTGGACAAGAATGTAGAATCTGAAGAAAATGTCAATCAACTGTTTAGTTTCCTGCAAGTTCTTGCTGCTATATTCAGCAGTTTTGCACATGGCGGAAACGATGTCAGCAATGCAATCGGACCATTAATTGCAATTTGGTTAATCTATAAAGATGGAGCGGTTGAAAGCAGTTCACCAACTCCTATTTGGCTCCTTCTTTATGGAGGTGTTGGTATGGTTATCGGACTTTGGGTACTTGGAAAGAGAGTCATCGAAACTGTAGGAACAAATCTTACAAAAATAACTCCAGCAACGTAAGTTTAAATGTTTTCAAATGACATCATAAAACTTTAAACAATTTTCTTTATCAACAGTGGTTTCGTTATTGAAAATGGAGCTGCTGCAACAGTTCTCATGGCTAGTAAAATTGGAATTCCGATATCAACAACACATTGTAAAGTCGGAAGTGTTGTTTTTGTCGGTTGGGTTTATGGACATCTATCATCGTCTGATAAAACAAAAAAATCAGTTGATTGGAGTCTATTTAGGTCGATAGTTTATGCTTGGGTCGTCACACTTCCTGCCGCTGGTGGAATGTCAGCTCTTTGTATGTGGATTTTCTCATTCTTCTACTAACTTCTAAGATTTTGCTAAGTTTTGAATTTTTTTGAATCCTCAATCTCATTTTCTATTTTTAATTTTACTTACGTGACGAATCAGGAATACATACAATTACAGAAGTTGAAATGTAAATTAGATTGATCATTAATAGTTCACACATGATGATGTAGTCTGATTGGCACGTGTTAATATATTAATGAGTAACGTAAGAAAGATGTCGTCAATCCAAGAATTCATTAATAAGTCGATAATATTTAAATTTTTCATGTGTTATGAGAGAAACTAAAATATTTTTGCTTCATTAAATTAACTTCAGTAATTGTAGTTTTTCTGATAATAAATTCTGATTCCTTTTGATAAGTTAAGAAAATAAATATTTAAAATCAAACAATTCAAAAAAGTTCGTTTCTTCTCCACGCTTTTGTCTCTTGAAATTATCTTGAAGAGATTTAGTTGAAAGAAATTCAAGTCTATTTATTAAAATTATTTTCATGTTGTTAATTTTTCATCATCAAGCCTCTGGCCAAAAATTTAATTTACATGAAATCGAGACTTCGATAATTAGAGAAAAGCTTTAATTATTAATAATAAATCAATTTCCTAAGTATATTAAACTTTTTTTAATGATATCAAAAAACGTTGAGAGATTCTCATGATTTTTAAACATTAAAACATTGTTAAATAAGCATGAAAGATAATTTACTTTGACCTCATAGATCGAAGACTTTCTTATATATCTGCAATACAAAGCGTCTCATCAGCAATCAATAAAAGTCACAATATCATGATATCGCACACGAACAATTGAATTCCATCAACATCCAATACCTTTGAAACTATTTTAAATCTACCATGGCATGAAAGTCATCAATAAATTTCCAAGTTAAGACTGATGGGAACAGATTGTGTTCGCGATTCTATTAAATCTTTTGCTATTCATATAATGCACCCAACTGTGTTGTTATTGAGAGTGGATTGCGAATTTAATCGTCATTTGATGATCGGTTTCTAAGTAATAAATAGAAATTTATAATGCGTTTTGTTATGCTTATTAAAAGTACAACGAAAGACAAATTGGTAAAGCATATCCACAGTTGGTTTAATGAAAGTACGACCACCACAATCTATTCGAAATATTTTTACTGTTAAGCTCTCTAGGTGTTTATTGGCTCTTTTTTGCTCAGTAAGAGATAAATATTTGATAACAAGACATTTTTATACCTTAAGATTAGCGCATTTTTCAAGTTTTAGTTGCTAACTGTATAGTGAAGTTTTATTGCTCGATTTTTTCAGAGTTGCATATCTGTATGATGACTTGGTCGAATCGAAATCAAAGATTTATTCACAATAATTGATTGTTTCGTAGAGAGAAAAAAATAGTTAACTATAACTATGATAATAAAATTTACGACTAAGATTTGATTGACATGCTTATCATGAAATGTTGCAAGACACTTTGAGACATTTAACTAGCACAGTTTCTTAGGAAACGTAAACAACCTTTGATGTAATAAAAGTGAAATGTTAAAAACATTCTTATCAAAGCTCATATGACAATTACTTACATTGTTTACTTTATAAGTTTAATGTCGTTTTGTGATCTGAATTAGCAATTGAAGGCCAAGAAATGGAGCGAAACACAAAAAAGAAATATTTACTTATATTACGTTCACTTAAAAGTTTAAAACGAAGGTGAACAGCTTTTACTTGTTGGTATCTTCAAAACAGTTCTCATATCTTCCATTTCCACCGCACTTTGTTATTCAATTTGTAGAATAAATTAAAAACTCGTAAATTTGTCAGAGGGAATGAAAGCACGTAAATTAATAATTTTCTGCTTCGAACAGCGCACTGCCTTTCATCTTTCATTTCGTTGTGCTTTTATTTATTTTCACGTCTTCACTTGAATAAATATGTTTCTGATGCTGCGTTTTCTGTCGTGAAAACATGAAACTATAAATAAAGAGTAACAAAACTGATATTTGCGGTAAATTATTAGCAAAAAAAAACCAAGTGAGGATATCGTGGCAGTATTTTAAAGCTTCCAATTGTTTGCATGGATTTAATTTGTCAGACATCAGATTCACGATATCAACAGTTTTATTTATGTCAGACAGGCTCCATCAGCAGTAGTTTTCCACTCTATTCCACTTACATTATGTTAAACATCTACAAACCAGCCTTAATGGTGTGATAAAAATTTAATTTATTTAATAAAAATATATTTTGACTGCCTTTACTACGACAGCTTTCGAGAGAGAATTTTATTATTTATGTAAAATTTATAAAATAAAGCGAAACTGGATTTAACAATCATAGACAAGCTTTCAGTTTAATACTAGGATAACGACCACCATCTCATGTCTTAATCCATAAACCAGCACTTTCCCTCGTTCAACATCACAAAGTACTGTATTAAAGTCAAACAAAAAATCTCCTGATATCCATGTAGACAAAATAATATCTAAAATATCTTTCTATAGATTCGCGGCAAGTTTGATTACGCAATAATTTTGCAATAAAAAATCATAATCAACTTTAAATAGCGTCGACAACATTTAATACTTATTTAATAATGTTTTTACCGCCTTATACAAGCTGATTAGATGCGCTTCTCGAAGCCCGCATCCTAATAAAGATTTAATAATATTTTTCAACTAACTGAACATGTCGTTTCACGATTCGTATATAAATTAATGAATAGACGACAATTTGTGGTTTTTTCAACTGCGTGAATGTTTTTTGTTCGTTTTGCACAGTGGTTAAACGATGTACTACGAATACTAAAAAAGTCCTTGCCAATTTAAAATTAGAAAAAATAATCGTGCGAACCTATCATGCTATGCTATCTTTCCCATGCACCTTTCCAATCTGTTGCCATCTCTATCAACCCGTGATCAAAGACGATGCAATTTATTCTCTTTTAAATGAAAATTGTGTATCGCGAAGGTATCAAAAGGTCAGCTACTGTTTTTTTTTTTGTTTTTGTTTCTCTTCAATTGTGCTTCGATCTTCTCAGTGTGTGTTGCGATATTTCGTACCAATAGAATTTTAAACAAAGAAGACGCTTAAGTTGAATGGTTTTAAAAAGATCAGGCTATACAATGGTGGCGACTTCTTGCTAATAGTAAGAAGAAAAAAAAACGTAGATACATACATTCAATTGAAAAGCAAATTATTTTTGCTTAAAATAATAATTCTTTTGTCCATAGCATAAATTCATGTTTTATGCTATCATCGTCTTTCTTCTCTCTCTCTCTCTTTTACTTACTGGTTTATTGAATAGCTTCTTCTAGTTGTTTTAGTCAAGGTTTTAACTACCAATAATCCATAGTCTACTTGAAAAATTGCGTTGCTTTTTTGTCTTTTGTCGTCTTTATGTAGTTTTTCTTCTTTCCTTTCCTTACTGAATTGTGCAAAAGAAAGAAGAAAGAAAAAATCATACAGCATAAAACTAAATGAAAAAGAGATTATTGGTGGTTGATAATAAACAAATAATAAAAGTTTTTCTCTTTCGCATAAGATTGTGCAGTTTGTTGTGTTGCAGTTTATTTACTTTTTTTAGTCTGCATTAATCGTTGCGAAAACAAAAACTCTTTTGGCGCTGACTTTTGCACATAAAGCATAAATTTTATGTGTGAATATCGGCTTTTCTTCTGTTCCATTCCAACTAGTTTCAGGTGCTTTTAGCTTCCACAGTCGATTACTAATCGAACTGAGTTATCGGCACTACACTCGCCGGCTTTAATAGCGAAATGAGTTATGAATCGTTTGGCAAACAATATAATTATAAAACAATTTCTAAATATCTCTTTGGAGTTGTATTCGAAGATCGAGAATACGAGAAATCAAAATGATATGTAAAGCTTACATACATATGTTGCTGATGCATTACCAGAAAAACCGGCAGCACAAAAATGGGCGAGAAATTTGCACAATCTGATTCAGAATATATATTTTTATTTGTTTCATTGCTGAGGGGAAACATTATTCTCTGGAGTTGCTTATCTTAAAATATCGGAATGAATATTTGTTCTTTGTAAAGCAATGCACCACTGCAAGCATTTCGAAGGAAGAAACAGTTAAGGAATGCGGCGTCTCCTTGACTGCAGTTTGAACGAAAATTAATTGATTTCCATGTTTTTTTAAGCATCAGCAGCCTCCATTACCTCGGGTTCTATTATTTGATACGATAAGCAATTGAAAATCGATTAAAATCAATTTCCAATGCACAAATAAATTGAGTAAATCTCTTACAAAGATTGCAAATAGCTACATTTGTATCATTTATCATTTGGATCGAAGATCAAAAGTCAATTTATGTGTTCGTTTAATTGAATTATGCTTAAGCGACTTTCTGAGCCAAGACTCATGTCATTTGAATTTTTAAATTGCTTTGCATGAGCTTTTCTATGTAAATCAGAAAACATCAGTTTTGAGTTGGATAAGCAGATGGATGATTTGAAGTAACAAATTTCTCAGCGGGTTTCACTATCAAGTAAGTTACCCGATCTCTTTTCAAATTAATTTATTATTGCTTTCCTAACGAATGAAACAAATCAATACGATTATTATTAATGAGTGTTGTTGATAACCAACTTTTCATTTCCATTGTTCCATGCTTTTAAAGGAAAAGTTAAATTACAATTATTTGCATATTGTGCAAGTCTCAACTTGCGACTATGAACATGAAATGAAGCAGGAAAATTTTATGGCATTGATTGAAGTATCCATTATTTTATTATGCGTTATAATTTGCTTCTTAATTACTTATTCTTTTAATATTATGATCAAATGATTGTGGATATCAAGTAATTGAGCAGTAAATCAAATCTTTAAATACTCCTCGACGTATGTACTTACTTTATATTTGCTTTTATTTTTCACTCTCTTTTAATTTAATTCAACATTTTTTTCTTTTCTTTTCTTTTAACGATCAAATTTCAGTCGTAAATCAATTTTTAGGCGCCTAGTGGAAAGAGGTAGTTAATGGAACTTAATGCAAACTGATACTAGCTAATGTAGGGTTTTCACCATGACGCCATGCATGTCGTCATGCATGATGCCATGACGACACGGTGAACAAAAACATGACGACACGGCGTCATGCATGTCGTCATGCTGGATGTTTTTTTGTATGGGAGTTTTTTAAACTCATTTTACACATAGAAAACTTGGTTTTATATGTACAATGTTTTCTTATGATATGTTCAAATAGCAATTCTGAACATATCTTTCATACNAGAGGGCGCTGGAAACAAATTAACTAACAATTTATCTCCAGCGCCCTCTGGTGTCACCTTACAGAAATACAATCTATTAAAAAAAGTTGCAGAATGTATCAAGGAACAACTTTCCCAAACATACATTATACCTAATTCTAATAGTTAAAGTTTTATAGCTAAAGAACGAAAGTTGGCTTTTGAAAAATATCATACTTACGTTTCATATGGAAAATTTAAATTCATTTATCTCGCAATGCGTAAGTTTTAGAACTTTATGTTGTATGAAAGATATGTTCAGAATTGCAGTTTGAACATATCATAAGAAAACATTGTACATATAAAACCAAGTTTTCTATGTGTAAAATGAGTTCAAAAACCTCCCATACAAAAAACATCCACCATGACGTCATGCATGTCGTCATGGCGTGACGTGACAACCCTTAGCTAATGTGACAACAACAGGAAAAATTGTGTTCGAATAAATGGCAAGAGTTGTAGAGATATTAAACACATAAAGAAAATAGTTTTTATTCAATTTTATATTGAATTCAAACAGACGAAGTGGAAATATTACTTTTATAGCAGCAGCTTTGGATATAATAATTAAATCCATAGCCAATCTACATCTAGGAACGGCACAGGTGGACTGGTCTTCTGTGACAGTAAAATTAATTAAATAAGATTATAAATTCGGTTTATTAAAATCGTTTTCCTTCTTTATTGATATTTGCTTCTGATTCATGAATCTTAAAAAAAATAAGAAAGAATCTTCTGAATTCCTAATCTATGCCAAATTTCAACATATCGAATTCCAATTGAGTCCTCGAAAGTTGCACCATTTAAAGTGAAACCATTTGGACATTAAGGAAGCATTAAGTCGTCTAAAATATGTATTCAAATTAAGTATTTATGCGCAACACACTTTTTTCCTCGCTATTTCAATTAACCATTAAAATTATATTACCACGAACAGTAAAATAGCATCGATTGATCGTCATTTGCATAATGTTGACATTTATTTACAATCATTTTTCGTCGAATTTTTTTTATTGTGTTTTAACTTTGTGACGAATTTTAAGATGTTTTAGATTTCCGTGACGATTTCTGTCTGATGACTCAAACACTGCTTTAATATTTTCCAGTTTCTTTAACAAGTTAAATCCAACAAGTCATTAAAAATAAATTCGCTGTCAAAACTAATGATCTATTTGACGATTTTCTTCTCATTTTCCTCAATGCCATTGTTCATTTATCTTCCATTTTCAATCAATATATTTGAACGCGTATAAAAAGTAAAGTAAAGTAAAGTATCTAAATGAAAAAAAAATGAAACAAAAAGAAGTAAGAGAACTTGATAGCGATCTTGAACCTGCTTTACGAGGAACTTTACAAGAAACTATGAGATGAAAAGAACTGTTATGAGTTACATTGTAATTGAAATTGCTGCCAACGATGGCGAATATTCAGGACAATTTTGAATTATTATTAGTTATTAAGAGACTTTAAATTGCCTTTATAACTTATGGCGTAGATAATGTGTAGGTTTTTGTTTTGCTGCAGCTTAACCTTTGGGTCATGATATTCTCATCTCAGCCTTAAGGTCGTAAACAGTCTCCAATAGGAAGTAAATCTTTAAAACATCGCACCGTGAAAGCGTGTGGTGGCAGAATTTGCTGTTGTAAAAAAGTGAAATATCTCAATTGTCAGTTCTCGTAAAAAATAAAATTGTTGAGTTTTTTTTTCTTTGCACACCGCGTTAAGTGAATGCTGACTGTGAGATAAAAAAAAGAACTGGCTGCAAAGAAGAAAGAAGGAAAAAGTTAATGAATTTTCAATTTCGAAGGTTTTTTTGCGTCAGATTGAGAAATAAATAAATTAGAGGATTATCTGAGCATTCCATTGTGGATTGTGGTTTTTAAACGACACATAATTTTGAAATTAAATGCAACTTTAAAATCACTTTCGTTTGTTCTCAATTTGTTTTAATTGAATTTAAAAGAGTCTTCAAGATACTTTAAAGCTTTTGGAAGTCATTTTAATAAACAACTAAGAAATAAATTAGCACTAAGTGGAAGGTCATTCATGGATCATCAATACATTTTAAAACTTTGCGCAATAAAATTATCAAGAAATCTATTTGTAAACAATTTTATTGACATTTTCAGTGATGTTTTAAGTTTTATTTGATCGTTTCCTGTCTAGATAGTTACAGACAGCTAAGACAAAAAAAACTGGCTTTGGACTTGCTCACGAATCGGAAATAAATGAAATTGCTGAAAGCTTAAGAATTAAGAAGTAAATGAGACATAAAAAAATTATTTAACACTTTCGACATTATTATGTTTGCTTTCTTATGATGCTCGCAGTTTTCAGTTGAAATGTCGTCAGTAAAAAACTTTTCGACGTCAAAATGAATAAAGGTTGACGATTGTTCTTCCGTTTAAATGTCATTGAGAATTTAAGCGAAACAGTTGAACGCCATTTATAAGGTTTGAAATGAAAATCAATGAAGAAGCTGAGCAACAAGCACATAATCACAAGTTTTTAGTAGAGGAGCAATTAACAAAAACGAGCTCGAAGGCAATAATTTCATGTTTTTAATACATGCACGTCTCTGCTTTAAGAATGTCGATTATCGTTAATTTATTCAAATTAAAATTCATTTGTCTCAAATGATGTTTTGTTGATACTTCTTCGTTTCGTTCTGTTATGTTATGTTGATTATGGATATTTAGTCGAAACAAGGTTAATTTATCGGAATCGAGATGTGCGAACAGGGAGATCTTGTACGTCGATAAGATATTGAAGTTATCAAGCAAGCGATCTTGTCGCTTCTATCAAAACGATTTTAACTTCATTTTTAACAATCAAAACAAACATGAAGCTGAAATATTTCCTTATAAATATTCATCAGAATGCTTAAAAAGAAATTAAATCGATTTTTTTTCGTGTCATTAATCGAAAGGAATCGTCAGTGAACTTGCTTAACGAAGTCGGGATCGGAAGGCTTTTGACAAAAGCCCACAGATACTCAACTTTCATCGTTCACATAAATTCACAATTAATTGTTCAACAGATTTCATGGTGCTTAAGCGTCAATTTTTGCGATCAACTTTTCACAAAAAAAAGCCGCTGTAAAGGAATTGAAACGAAGTTGGTATATTTATTGATTCCGAAATGATTTTTAATCGTCAGATTTCGAGCTTTAATGACAGCATGGTTTTGGCGACACTCGACAATTTATTGTGTGTCTTACCGACTGATCAAAACCGCTCACGAAAGAAACCATAAACCAAGACGTGGGCGTAAGAAAGTCTTAATTAATGTGAATGTGAAGAAATGTTTCGTTGGTGGTCAACTTCTGATCAGCTTCTGGTTATGTTGAACATTTCAAGTTGTTTCCAATAACAAATAGAGAAACAGTAGCAGATTCGAAGTCTGCAAAAGTTTTTTTCTTAATCAAGAAAATCTTATCGTTTCCCAAACCACCTGACTCCATTCGCTCTAATTTCTCAACGTTTTCATCTCAGTTAGATGGAGAAAAAAATTCTTAAATGTAAATAACAATCATCAAAGATCTCCGATTCACAGCATGCTCGAGGCTTATCATGACAGTCGCATCTTGTCTGTTTGATATTAAACTGGCAGGGACATTAATTTAAAGTTATCATTATCGCGATCACCATCCAATATCGTCTTCATTTGATCAATAATTTATGCTGAAATATTTTTTTTGTAATTAAAAATCAAAGTTGGTCATTGATGATCGCTTTCATTTGAGTTGGAGATCATCGTCTTAGGACAGTGGCGTATTTTATGCTTTCAAATCTTAATTAAGACTTAAAAACTTACATCTCTGATCGTGATTATAGAAACGGGATGATAAACTACATTGACTATTAAACTGTTATCTTGAATATCTAATCAAACAATTTCGAAAATAGTTGAGTTAAACACGAAAGTCGACTTGACATTTTACTCATCATCATCGCCTGTAGCAGGCAGTAACTTGCTGCAGCAATGCATATTTTTATTGTCATTTTAACATTGAATTATCTTTCTCTTGTAGCTTGTCGCCTTGTGTGTCTTGTTTGCGTAACTAAAGAGCCATTGCACTCTCTTCCCTCTCGAGACAAGATGATGCTAAAGAATTCAATGTTGACGATGGTGCACAATGGGCCACGAATCGTTGAGTATTTGTTTTGCTCATCATCGTCGATAACGAAGAGAAAGAACAAACAATTTAGTGACGGACGACTGAGGAATTGTCAGCTTGATGAAATTCCTTGCAACGTCAATCCGCAGAATCAATAAGACGGTCAAGTTGGAAATCAATTAATTTTGGTGCCGTTTCGAACGACATATTTTCTGGATTGTTACGATCATCGATAACGAGAGGCATACGCTCTTTCGATGGAATCTTCGATCATTCACCGAAAATTTAATCATCATAAGATGACAGCAACAATGAGATACAAATGCACAAACACTCATTTAAATTTATTTTTCGATTTTATGTCGCATCATCAATTTAACGATCACGGAAAACGAGAGAAGTGAAGAAAGAAATTGAAAATTAGAGTGAAGAAAAATCGTCATCGATAAATTCGGGAGATCATTGAAAAATTCGAATGAAATTAACATAAAGAAATCATTAAAAGCATAAACAAACAACATCAACAAGACAAATCTAACAAACGATCTGAGACCGCAATTAAAATGTTCTCCTCTAATGGCATTTCGGTGAATTATTTTGTGCCATTTCGTTATTTCTTTTTTATTATTTCCATAGTCTCCAAAAGCAGATAAGTTAAGTAAGTAAGTAAATATTTGTTATGATCATTCATCTAAAGTTTTTTAAAAGAAAAAAAAATTAACAGATTAACATGTCAAGAGCTTAGCAAATAATATTTAAATTCTAAAAGTCTGTGATGAGCACGTTCGGTGTACAAAAATGGTTTTAATCAAAAGTTTATCTGTTGGGTGTTCTTGAGATCAAGCCAAGAGAAAAAATTATAACAAATACCTTCCTGTTCTACAATGTCAATTCAACGATCATCTTGTTCGATGGTGTTTTAAGTTTGATGTTTTCCTCTTCTTTTGATCATTTGATTTAATTATCGATCGTACAAGACAAAGAATCTTGAATCAAATAAAAATAAGAACAAGCACAAGAAAGAGAATAAATTTATAAAGAAGTCGTGAAATTTCGAAGAAGTCAATAGCCGAGAACAAGAGAGTGGAACGCGATGATAAAAAGAAAATTCAACTTCGATCGATATGAACGCTAAACAAGATTTGAGATATGATAATGACTAATGATTAAAATATGTGACAATCGTAAAGACGAAATCATTTTGACAAGAATTTGGGAAGGGAATGTTATGGGTATTGTTGTTGGCATATTTTGTGATCTAGAAGAGTTGATGGAAAGGATAAAAAAGCAGCGATGGTGAATAAATTAGCAACATTAAGTATCTATGTTGGCACTTGCACAATTTCTCATCGATTCCAATCTATTGTAATTATGGGAAAATAACCTACTAAGGAATGTCAAAAAGCGCGTTTTTTATTCCTTTTATCAATAACGACGAAGATGCAATTGTTTTTTAATAAAAGAATTTCATCTTTTGTGTAATGAGAGAGGGAGAGGAAAGGAGAAAAGATTAAATAATTCAGCTTTTTAGTATTCTGAAGGGAATTATTGGTAAACGATCATTTTTTTCTTCCTTTTCATGTTAACTTTTCTTCTCAAGAAACATTTTTTTCTCTTCATTTCTTTCGTCGTCTTTTTCATCCAATATTGAATTGATAAGTTCACATATATTGAATTTTCTTGATTCGTTATGTGCTTTAATCAGAGGGAAAAGTGTCGCTTGAACTTAAATTAAACATTTTGTTTACAGCGGTGAGGAGTTTATGTGCGGTGCAACATTGCATAATTAATAACGACAACAAGCGATGGTGTTTGAAATTTTAATTAGAATTTAGCGTACGGGTGATGAAGCTAGTAAGACAAGTTTTACTTATTTTTGATTTTAAAATTCTTTTAATAATTATTTTTTATTATTAATTTTAATCAATTTCAAGCAGTGTTGATAAAAAAGAAGAAGAAAAGAAATTTAACCGACGATTCTGATGCTCGGCAAATAATTTCTCACGGTCGTTTTCTGGTCTCAGTGCGATAGCGAAAACAGTTAAACATGAACAATCATCAATCAACAAACTGCGAGTGCATTTCTTGTGAGCTGAATTTTTGATAAGGCACAGACAGAGAAATGATACGTGAAGTTAACGAGTGAATCTGAAAAGACAGATTCAAAAAATTTATTCGTTTTAAATGATATGAAATTTCCACATTTTTAACATCATTAAGTTATGCTTACAAAGGGGATATGTTTGTAAGGAATGTCTCAGTTATTTTCTTGTCTTGTACATAAAGTTTAAATAAATTTTTGATTATTTGGCGAAGCATTCGTGATATTAGATTTAAGATTGCTAAATGCTTAATAAATGTGAAATTTTTACGGTACTTTTTATATTCTTCAACAAATAAAATATTAAAATTCCTGTTCTTGTCAGTGAAGCGATAATCCCAAAAGAAAACATGAAGTGCTTAGAAAACAAAGAAAGAATTTAAATATTTAAATTGAGAGAAAATCAGCAATTTGTGGTTGTACATAAATAATATTAGCAATATATCATCACATCTCAATGCAATTGTTTTAACAGCAAAATCAAAAAATTAAAACTTGTCGCTAAGCATTCAACCAGCAAACGGGTTGCGAAAAGTCACAATAAACTGTCATTAAACAATAAATAATTGTTAACAAAACTGTAATTAATTTCGTGATGATTTTCTTAGTGTTGTGTTGAACTTTTAAAGTGATTTATGTTGCTCGTAAGTATTTCTTCTGTCGTAAAAATTCTTCAATATAACCACAATTGGTGACTTTGATAAATGCAATCTTAGGAATGAAAAGTAACGACAAGAGAAGAGACAGAATAAATCAATATGTATATCATCAGAAAAAAAACTCGTCAGAGGAAATTAAGTTCACACGATTTCTTATGTGGCGATCTCATATCAAGAGTGACACTTCATGATATGCCTTAATGACCAATCGAGGAACAACTGACTGCATTTTCAGGCTACATTTTTCTTCCTTACTTCTAATCTAATCGAATGATCGACTTTATTTCTCTCCCTCTCGACTTCTTTGTGTTCGCTATTTGAAAAATGTCACTTGCAACAACATAATAATCGATAAGATCCAATCGATGTCTCCATGGTAGAGATTATTGAATCTCTAGTCATCATCATATTTACGTGAAATCGGAATGCTTAATGCCATTTTCGTGAATCTTGTTTTTCCATTCGCCACCGATCGATCGAACGGAGAATTTTTCTCAATGTCGTGTAATTATTTGCAAGCGAACATACATTTTATCATCATTTCTTAGAGATTCCTTCGACTTCTGTCATGATGTGGCGAACGAACACATAATGAAAGCAACGATCACAGCATAAAGTACCTGCCAAGCAAACATCTCGATCTCAATATAGGCACAAAATTCCATAACAGTCCGGGTCAGACAAACTGTTGTTAGGAACGAGTTTTTCATGCTATTGCTTGCTGCTAAAAATTGCTGGTTGCTGTGCGAACACACACACTGCATTTGCAATGGGTTGTTGACAAAGGGAACTTTTTAATATAAGGCACAGCAGCATCTTTGAGACACAAAAAATTCTTTAAAAGAAGATGGAAAAGAAAGAGAGAGGGAGAGATCTCGTCAAGTGCTTGCTGGTTTGAAAAACATCCATTTCCATATATTGCACGACAACAACGACTACGAAAATGACGAGACATTTTGGCAAAATAAAGAAATGTATCAAAATATCTGTAAAAAAGAAACCCTCCACGACTGTAATTGTTGATATATGTTAACTTTTTCTTTTTATTAAATTCCAAGAAAAAAAAAATGTGAAAAGTTTGACGACATGATGACTGTCGTGATTGATGTATTTAGCATAAAAATATGGCGAAGGAATTGAGATATATGTTTGATAATTTAATATTCTGTATTAATTTCAACATATCTACTGATGACCTAAGTCATCATCAAAGTCAAAGTTATAATTTACTGCTTAATGAAGGAATAAGTGTTGCAGAATTCTCATAAGTATGCGGCAAACTGCAACCTTGTTGTGGTAAATAAAACAAATGTCTTCTTTAGGCTTTTAAAGCACATAAATAACGAATTTCTTTGAATTTCCTTTAGTGGACGCTTTAAGTGATTAATGCAACAGTCATAATATCTTATTGATAAATAACTACCAATATATGAGAACATAAAATTTCTTCCACCTCATTCAATTTTTTTTTCATCTCAAAAATTGAATGCGACGATAAAAATGTTTCATAAAAATTTTTAGCTGTGCCAATAAAATTATAATAATTAATTTTTATTAAGATAGAATGAAATTTAAAAATAATAAGAAAAACACAATGAAATTAATCAAAAGATGCGTCAAACTGTTGTTTTGACTTAAGACAATTTTAATGAGAAATTGAACTAAAATTTCTGCTTAAATGACATTTTATTTTGATTTCTTCTCTTTCGCATATTTGCTTTGAATCGAATGAAGACGAAGAAAAAATGAAAGATAAAAATAAGAATCGATAAATATTTTTATCAATTCCAATTTCCCATGTTTGGATTCCGCGAGGGGATCTTAGGGAAAAATGGTATGTTGTAAAATGTAACCGTCGACTGTCGAGTTTCGCGAATTGCGAATCGTTCTCCCCACTGTCAAAGCTATTTTTGGAGTTGATATGGAGTGGACAGGTTGTTTGTGTCACTGTTTGTCCGCATGAGTTGGAAAAATAATTAAAAAAGTTTCCATTTTAAAGTCCGCGTGCAACTCCCAGAAACGCACACAGAAGTCTAGAGAGACTTTGAGCCACATTTTGACATCGCTATCGATGATTTCAAATATGGCGAAGTTTAATAATCAAAACAGAAGCAGGTAAGGCATGGATCTCGTGTGCATTTTGACGAAGGCAAACTGAAGGCCGACAAACATCATTGACTGATACCAATCTCCATTGAATGTGGAACTGCAAATGCAGACATGACATCGATTGAATGCACGCTTTAATAATTTGAATAAGTGGATTGAATTAATGTTGAGACGAACCATAACAAGTGCAGAGTATTTTTTGCTTTTTCATTTAGTCTACGGCATTTAATGACGTCAAAATGAACGCAAATCTCTTTGCATATATTCATTAACAATTTTCTTCCCTATTAAAGTTTCTAATCCAATTATCTTTAATAGGCCATGTCCAAATTTGACTCTAATAATCAACCTGCAACTAATCAAAGGTCGAATCTAATGCATTTATGCATGGATTTGCTTACATATCTATAAAAAGCTTTTAAAAATCAAACAACTAACGAATGATTAGAAGTTTGACTGGAAATTCAAATAATCATAAAGTCTAATGAAATTTTCTTCGCGTATTTATTTATTTATATTGTGTTGGATTGAATGATTATTTCCTGAATTTCTCTTATAAATTATAACTATGCAAAGGCAATAGAAACTCGTTCTCCTTAAGTGCATTTACTCGACAAGAATCAGAAAGTTTTTGATTTGCGAATATTGCATTCAATAAGTCGTGAATTATGAACGATCATCGTTTTCCTTTAAAAGGACTTAATGATTAATTAACATGCAATGAAAATCGCTTTATTAAATTACTCTCTCGAATTATTCTATCCAATTTTATTTTTATTACAATCGACTAAGTAATGTAGGTAGATGTAGAGAAAATGTAAAAGGGAAACTAATTTGTGACGCATGTGACGTGTGATTGGCGTTACGAATAATTGCTGGTGCAGGTGAATCAAAAACTTAAAAGGTTTATATTCACCGCACAATATTGTTGTGAGTTGTTGATGAAGCTTCGTTTTAACGTTAAATAAACTTAAAGCATTTAATATCATTTTCCGGATGTTAAGATTCAGATAAAGCCACAAAGACGACATCACAATAAAGTCCAAAGACGATCAACAAAAGATCAAAAAAGTTTTTCTTTTGTCTTTTAAATTCCAACAGAGATTGCACAATTTTTAAATAAATAAATTATGAAAGAGAAGTGCTCATAAATTTTATTGATGCTTTATTGTTACTTGTGGTAAAATAACCACGACAAAATAATAATGCAAACAAAGTTAAATTTTATGACTCTAATTCTAACAACAATTAATAAATATTTTATTGTGAACATGCTTTACCGACACAACAAAAAAAAAAGTTCATCAAGATTTATTTTTACGTCATGTGAAAAAAATGCAAACTAAAAATTAAAACAAATTTAATTGCAATTAGACATTACAAGCTCCCATGAAACATGTAAGTTGTGTATGCACAAAACAAATGAAAACAGTTTTTGTTAATCCCGACACCATACGTAAGC